TTATTATTGCAGATCACAAGGTGGTTTGTTATCGCTGCTGCAGAAGTGCAGACAGGGAAAACGAATTCGTTTGGGAGTAAATGGTTTAGCTTTTATTTTATTTATTTTTTATTATATATTATTTATTATTATATTTTATTTATTATTATGTATTATTTATTATTATATACTGTTATTGTTGTATATTATTTTTTATTATTGTATATCGTTGATATGTGGGTATTACTGTGTTTGATCATTGCTAGGCGCACTCTGCCAAATTAGCTCTAACTGCCTGCGCTCTGACCGATGAATGTAGGTGTCTGTGACCTAACCGATGAATCTGAGTGTCTGCGCACTCTGCGTGTCTGCGCTCTTGCTGATTTGAATTTTATGTGGTACCATTTGAGTGAATACATTCATTTGAGTTGGTGATATTATTTGTTATTTATTGGAATTATTATTATTATTGTTGTTATTATTATTAATATTATTGCAGATCACAAGGTGGTTTGTTATCGCTGCTGCAGAAGTTTAGACAGGGAAAACGAATTCGTTTGGGTGTAAATGGTTTGGTTCTTATTATGTTTATTTATTACTGTATATTATTTATTATTATATATTATTATGTATTATTTATTATGTCGTTGATAGGTAGGTATTAGTGTGTTTGATCATTGCTGGGCGCACTCTGCCAAATTAGCTCTAACTGTCTACGCTCTGACCGAACCGACACACTCCGCGCGTCTGCGCTCTGACCGGTGAATCTAGGTGTCTGCACACTCTTGTTGTCTGCGCTCTGACTGATTTGAATTTTATGTGGTACCATTTGAGTGAATGCATTCATTTGGGTTGGTGAGTGTGTAGAGAGCGGTTGTGTGGTGGTTGGCAGTGGGTGTTTGTTATGATGGTGATGGTGTGTTGATTGATTGCAGATATTCTTTTGGCTGTATTCTCGTCGAATTTGGTTGGAATCGCTGTGGCACGTTCACTGCATTATCAGTTCTACAGTTGGTACTTTCACTCGTTGCCGTATTTGTTATTTGTGACGGTAAAGTTTGGAGAGAAAGGGGGAAAGAGTGATGGGATATGGACGGATTTCCCGGTGTTTGCTGTTTTGGTGAGGTATGGTTTGTGGGGATTTGTTATTGGTTTATATTGGGTAGTGCTATTTATTATTGAGGTGTATTTTTGTGGTTATTTATTATTATTATTGTATATTTTTATTATTTGTTATTGTTGTTATTTAGTATTATTGTAATTATTATTGATTTTAGGGTGAGTATTTTGCTCGGTATAGAGCTGTGTTGGAATACGTACCCGTCGACGGCGTTGAGTTCAGCGATGTTGCATGTTTTTCACGTGATCGTAGTTTGTAGTTTGGTGTTGAGCAGGTATTATTTATCGAGTGATTACGGTGAAAAGGAAGGGTTGGAGATGAAGAGGCAGTAATATTGATGGTTCTTGGAAAACTGGATTACCTGGTTTTTACCGGTTGGTTCGGGTTTTTTAATGGGTCATTTTGGGAAATAATGAGGAGGTGTGGTGATTTTTTACCGGTCTGGTAAAGTGACTGGCTTTGGGAGGTTATTTTTTTACCGTTTTGAGGGATATTTTCACCATTTTTGTGGTGTTTGTTTAGTAAACTCTGACAGTCTGCCCTTTGACCGGAGAAGTCTGCCAAAATTAACTCTAACCGTCTGCACTCTGACCCGGTGTGTATTGTTGAATTTTTTGACTTTTTTGATGTGATTCGATGTTTTATTGTGATTATTTTTGTTATTGTTGTTATATTATGGGTTTTTTAGTGTTATTTTTATTATTTATTATTATTTATTGTTATTGTTTTTTATTATTATTGTTATATATTGTTATTGTTTATTATTATTGTTATTATTTATTATTAATGTTGTCAGTTGTAAAGGTTTCAGTGTGGTATTTAATGTATTGTTACCGGTACTTTTTAAATTTAATGTATTGTTACCGGTACTTTTTAATGATAAAGAGTAATTATTAATATTTTGAGAGTATTTTAGTGCTGTTTTAGAAAGGTGGATGTGGTACCTTTGCTATTTTTTATTTGTTATTATTGTTATTACTGTTGTTTTTATGATTATTTATCGTTATTGTTGTTATTATTTATTAATTTTGGTGTTATTATTAATGTTAGAGATAGAGAGAGAGCGAAAAGAGCGTGGAAGAACGAGAGGCGCAGAGAAGCGGAGATGTTCTCTACGGCCTCCACATCGGTCAGATACCCGATGCTGTTTCGATGGTGGATGGGGAGGGCGCAGAGACGGGCGTTGACCGTGGGGACGTATCGTTTGAAGGCAGACGAGTCACCGGCAGTGGCGGGGGCAACCGTACCGCAGAGGGTGAGTGTATTCGATAGGAGGGCGAAACTGAGGCAGAGGGATAGGGCTGCTCGGAGCCAGTTTTATGACGTGTGTCAGTACGTGAAGGTGGGTTTTAGTTATTATTATTTATTAATTTATTATATATTTATTATTATTTTTTCTTTGTTTATTATATATTCATTATTGTTATG